CCTAAAATTTTTCCAGGGCAATCTGAGTATTACAGAGTTTGATAGTACATTTCGACGATTGTCGAGACATCACCGCGAAACCTATGAGAACCCTCAAGAGATGATGATGGTGCAGCTGGGGATTGCTATGAACGATGACATCTGTGAGCTTCTGGCACCATATAGGTATGCATCATACGATGATTGAAGCAGCTTTGAGGGTCGAACAGACGAGGTGGAGCAGACTTAACCAGAATCGGCCACGGAACTAGAACCAACCTAGAAACCAGAATCAGTGGGGTCGTGGATTCTGATCCCGGAGCATGAGGGAGCCTTCTACTTCTTATGATTCTTTCGGCCTTAGACACTCTCAGTCGTTCAAGCGACAGGGTCAGGGTTCGGGATCATCCAGTGAGGGCTCGGCAGTAAGATGGCGAGGCGATCTTTCAGTCATTTTAATCCAATGGTTACGACTTGTGCGTGTTGTGGTAAGCGTCATCAGGGTGATTGCAGTACTCTAGCCCTCACGGTTTTGTTTCTGGGAACTCACGAGCAACTTCCCAGTGGGTCACCCATCCTGGGAGTGCTCTAGCTCCCTTCTCGCTTAACTTCGGAATTCTTACGGAACCCGAAGCCAGTGAGCTCCCAAAAAGCTTCGTGCTAGATAGGGATGGGAATATACATTTAAGGATCACTCCCCTCGTCGGCACACTTCCGGCCAGGGATTGGCTCTGATACCATTTGTCACATCCCAGCCCGGGGTGGATTACTTCTCGGGCCTGCTCCACCACCGTAGCACGATATTATCCGTTTTGGGCCCCGACTTCGCCCTCACGGTTTTGTTTCTGGGAACTCACGAGCAACTTCCCAGTGGGTCACCCATCCTGGGAGTGCTCTAGCCCCCTTCTCGCTTAACTTCGGAATTCCTACGGAACCCGAAGCCAGTGAGCTCCCAAAAGGCCTCGTGCTAGGTAGGGATGGGAATATACATTTAAGGATCACTCCCATGGGCGATGTGGGATGTTACACATCCCAATAGGCCCAAGCCTAGATGCCCAGGCCTAAACCCAGTCGGAGCCCAGATCCCAGTCGGCGGGTGGGCTTGCACGTGGGCGTCTGTCTTGGCCGGCGTGTGGAGCACATGCGCCTCCACCGGAGGTACTGTGCTCCACTACCGTCCACGGCAATGACTTTTTCGGCAAACTTTCCAGCAACCCAACTCGGCACGTGGCCGTCTGGGCCGCCGCCTCGAGGTCCCCCTTATGTTTTTAGACATCCTGAATCCATTTATGACGTCTGTTTTTCGAAATTCAATCGTTATGGTAGAGTTTTATTAATTGGACCCTTTATGTGCTTAGGTGCGTTTATTAGCGGCATTTCCGTCCTTCCTATTTCACACGGCTCTTCGACGACGGAGTATCTATGAGTGGACCCTTTCTAAAATGCATGATTTATTATTAAATACATGAAAAGCATGATTTTATGGATACGTTTTATGAAACGTTTATGAGTAAATTGGTTTCACGCTTTATGAATTATCATGCTTTATCGATTTTACATTCTTTGTGGTATATATGATTGATGACTATATACTATGAACATGATTTATGATATGATGTTTGAGCTACTGAGCTCTGTTGAGATATATATACTTATACTTTGGAAAGATTATGTTCAATGATTTTTGTGCTTACTTAGTGGTTACTCGAATGTCCTGCCTATAGGCGAATGATCTGCAAGCGGGCGAATGTCCTGCCTACGGACGAATATCCTGCCTACGGGCGAATGTCCTGCCTACGGACGAATGATCTGCCTATGGGCAAATGACCTGCCTTCGGGCAATACTAATACCACTATTTAGCACACTATATACGATATATGTTTTATTGAAGGTTTTATGGCATGCTAGGGTTTTCGGAAAACCTATTACTTATTATGCTATATGAGTTTTCATAAACTTTGTGGGGTTAGTACGTTGTTGAATAACTATGTTAGTACTACTTATATATCAACTTGGTCCACTCATGTTTGTTTTGCGTCCCCTCAGGACCTAGGAACGAGGCATACAATCTGAGCTTACGTGGCATTCCCCTACCAATGATATCATGTCATCCTCTTTGCTTTTGACATCACTTGTAATAGCACTTTCTGTTACACCTTCCGCTTGTATTCTGAACTATTAGTATGCTCTGAACATGTCATGCATTATCACTTTTATTATGTTGACAGTTGAACTTATGATATTATTTTGTTAAGGTTGTATTTGAATATTACATTGCGTAGTTATGCGCAAAATTTATATGCATGTTTCATGGCATATGCATTCATGAAATGACTTGGGTCATCCTCGGGTATCGGCCAGCACGTGACCATCATGTTGTCCTTCGGACACCGAGATCGGGGCGTGGCATATTTCCTTGCTGTTTCGAAATTGTTAGGCCTTTTTCCTTGAGAAATCAAAACATTATGCAATTTCTCTGCAGATTTTTCTTTCCTTTTTACTAAAACTTGCACAAATTTCATCCTAATTATCAGACAATGATCTTTCACAACTTAAACAAGTGCTAAATTTTTAGTATCTTCTTCCTTTCCATCCATCTTTTCGCTCCCTTTGCCAATCCACTTTCCTTCAGCTTCCCACAATTCGACCTCGGCTCAAATAAAATACTCTACGCGGGCGATGCCTCTCTGTCCTTCACAAGAAAGCTCAACACGCAGAATATCTACTGCCTCAACCTCCACAACAAGATTGCTCCTCCCACGGATCCATAACTGATACCTCTGAACATGTAGGTCTGTAGAAACCGAGCTACATCAGATTCTCTGTGTTTCCTTCTTTTTAAACTACTACCTTTATCTTGCTACATGGCTGTATGATTTCATATATGAAACATCTGAATTGGTATATCTGTTAAATGTTTGTTTGTTCGTCATGCTTTAGCACATGGGGCAGTTTAATTTTCTTGCGAAATGACAAACTGCGGCAGCTACATACGCAAGAATAAACTTCAATGAACAGTCTGAATTTCGAACAGAAAAATTTAGCAGCAGCCGAATACTACATTCATTTTCACTTTAGCATCCAAGTTTTCACTAGAAAACCATTGAATACATCTGGGGTGCCTGAAGAAAAATATAATTCTTAGAAGTGAATCTGATTATCAGTTCCCCCTCAAGAAAAAACGAATTTGTTCCGTCCGCTCGTCACATCTAGGCTTTCAGCTCCAGCATGAACAATTTGTCTCATTAAAGCCAAATTGGTTGCCATCAAGAAGCTATATTTCTTGTATACACTGTTTAAAAATCATCTTCTAGCTCCGTCTAGGCCGCGCCTAGGCACTAGACGGCTGGTCACTGCCTCGATTAATCCTTAGCCGTTTGAAAGTTAATAAAGGTCGTCTAGACCGGACTAGACGCCCGCCTAAGCACCCTCCTAGGTCGCGCCGAGCCTAGGCACTAGGCGGCTGGTCACTGCCTCGATTAATCCTTAGGCGTTTGAAAGTTAATAAAGGTCGTCTAGACTTGACTAGACGCCCGCCTAAGCACCCTCCTAGGTCGCGCTCTCATTTAGACAAAAAATAGATAACTTTCACTTTGCATTCTATTTTAAGAAAACTAATAAAAATGACTTCAAATCTTTGCATTTTAATAAATAAATAAAAAATCATCTACTAACTTTTATTTAATGATAAGGACAAAATAATTATAAAAAAAAACATAAAAAACCACATGAGCTGGCGTGCACCCCACCCCACCCCCCTTTCCACTTTTTTTTCTCTCCATTGTCAGCTATCATTAAGACATTATTTTTATTTTCTTAGAATAAGAGAAATATTTCAAATTGAATTACATTTTTCAGTTTTATTTTTGTGGTGTTATTTTCCAATAGTAATCAAGATGATGAGAGATTTTTCAATGTGCCCGGAACACGGGATGATACACCACGTCTCAATACAAGTGGTCAAATTCTTGTGTTAAAAAATAAAATTTTCCACTACTTACATAATAACACGTGATGTAGAAAGTTAAGATTGTAGGTGGAAGAGAAGAGGAAGCCGCAGATGGATGGACAATAGAAGAACATTAAGTAAATGGTGTAGAAAGTTAAGAAATTGAAGAGATACAGAGAAAATTTGATGAGTATCAAAGAAAATTAGAAGAAGAAAATGTGTTTGGAAAGTGAGAATGTGTCAAGAAAATTCAAGAAGATAAGAGAGAAGAATGTAATACCGTTAAGTTTCATAAGAAGTGTAGTAAGTTTCATAAACAGTGTAGTATCGTTAGGTTTTATAAACAGTGTAGCACCGTTAAATTTCATAAACAATGTAGTAAGTTTCGTAAACAGTGTAGTAAGTTTCATAAACAGAAGTTTCATAAACAGTGTCGTAAAGTTTCATAAACAGTGTCGTAAGTTTCATAAACAGTGTAGTACCGTTAAGTTTCATAAACAGTTTGTGTGAAGACGCACGAGTCCGCACGTCAGATTTTTTTTTAATTTTTTTTAATATTAAAATTATGTCTTTTTCATTAAAATTTAAGTTATTTTGTCCTTTTTATTAAAATTTAAGGATTTTTCATTAAAATTTAAGTATTTTTCATTAAATAAAGTTATAGCATGGTTTTTTATTAAAATAAATTTAGCCCAAGCCATTTTCATGAATGTTCTCTTTTATTTTTTCAATAAATTGTAAGAGACTTATTGAATACTTGGATGAACACTCATTATATGATTGTTCCCCTCGTTTTCAATATGTCTTATTGTTTTATAATCTATATGTCATTCTATTTTGCAATTTATTTATATCGATATTATTATGAAGTATAAGTAGATATTTATTTATATGTTATATATAGTTAAATTTAACAAAACTGCCTAGGCCCCATCATTCGGCTTGCGCCTAGCTCCTTTTAGAAGCTTGCTTGTATATGAACTCAAATTTATAAAGTCTGAATCAGTACATCTTTGTTTTTGAGTGGCACTACTTACTAGCATGCTAGATTTGAATATTTTCTTGTAAAGATGAAGACAGATCAGAGACTGGTAGCTATTCTTAGCACTATTCTTGTCTGCACCGACCGAGCAGTCCCCGATCTGTCTTCGTCTTGTAATGGAAATAATTGAATCCTATCCGGTAAGAAAGTGTGGACAAGGTAATGAGGCGAACAATTGCATTTATTTTTAGATTATATCAGCAGTTTATTTGTGGCTATTAGTTTGGTTTCAATCTCTCCTATTCTGTTAAACTTGGGTTAATTAGAATTGTGAGAAGTTGTGTGAGAAACGCAGTTGCGTTCGAATGCAATGTCGCTAAACAACACAAGCAGCAGAGAGGTAAGTTTTCGTCTTCAATACTTCCTTCATTTTGATCACCTGCTTCCCTCACTTTGCTCAGCCACTTTCCTTCAATATTACACAATTTTATCATGGTACAACGAACATTGTCTACGAAGGTGACGCAGCGCCTGTACTAGGAGGGATTGAACTCAACGCAGAGTCTACATGGACGTGGACCGTTGGGCGGGCTACATATGCAGACCCTTTGCACTTATGGGACTCCAACTCCGGGTCACTTGCAGACTTCGTTACTCATTTCACTTTCAATATCAACGCTGCTGGCCAAAACCATAGTGACGGGTTTGCGTTTTTCCTTGCTCCTGTTGGTGTCCCAATTCCGCTTAACTCGGGTGGGGGTTTTCTCGGATTATTCAACAGCACCACCATGTCAGACAACAAAATTGCTTCCGTCGAGTTCGATACCTACTCAAACAGTTACTGGGATCCAGCCGGACCGCATGTTGGGATCAATATCGATAAAATCGCTTCTGCTGTTCAGCCTAGTTGGAACTTTAGCAGCGATTATAATAAGAAGAATGTGAATGTGTGGATAACTTACAATGCTACCACTAAAAACCTCAGTGTGTTCTGGACAAACAAGGAAAACCCTGTTTTCGTAGGCAATTCTTCTCTTTCTTACGTTGTTGACTTACGCAAGTGCCTTCCCGATTTGGTTACAATTGGTTTTTCAGCTGCTACAGGACAATACCCCGAGCGGCACACGATATACTCATGGGATTTCAATTCAAGTTTGGATCCTACGCATGAGAAAAACAGGAAACACAAGTGGAAAGGAAACGAGAAATGGTTGATAGCGGTCTTTGCGGCTTCCTTCTTGATTGTGGCGATTGGCGTGGCGGCCTTATGTTGTTTGGTTAAAAGGATTGGATCGTTTGCGAACAGAAATCACAGCTCCAATGGATTGCACTCTATAAGTGCGAAGCTTGAGAGACTAGCTGTCCCAAAAAGGTTTTCTTACCAAGAATTAGTCGTGGCCACTAATGACTTCGCGAAAGAAAGAAGGCTAGGCCAGGGAGGGTCAGGACAAGTTTATAAAGGGATCTTACAAGATCTTGGCTGCCTAGTTGCTGTTAAGAGAATCTTGACAGAATCCGAGCGCTATGAGAAAATCTTCATCAATGAAGTGAAGATAATAAGCCACTTATTTCATCGAAATCTGGTCCAGTTCATTGGATGGTGTCACAAGAATGGAGAATGCTTGCTTGTTTATGCATACATGTCCAACGGCAGCCTTGACACGCACCTGTTTGGTTCTCGAGTAACTCTGCAATGGGAATCCCGGTACAAGATAGCTTTAGGGTTGGCCTCGGCACTTCATTACCTACACGAAGAAGCAGAGCAATGTGTCCTTCACAGGGATATCAAATCAGCTAACGTACTGTTGGACAATAATTTCAGCACTAAGCTTGGTGATTTTGGTATTGCGAAGCTCGTGGATCCGCGATTCAGGAGTCAGACAACAGGGGTAGTAGGGACTTTCGGATACATGGCCCCAGAATATGCAAGTGGAGGGAGGGCCAGCAAAGAATCAGACATTTACAGTTTGGGAGTTGTAGCCTTGGAAATTGCATGTGGAAGGAGGACTTACCAAGATGGAGAGTATCATGTGCCACTTTTCCGGTGGGTTTGGCAGCTCTACCTTGCCGGAAATCTTCTCCACGTAGCCGATGAGAGATTAAATTTGAACTTTGATAGAAATGAAATGGAATGTTTGCTATTTGTGGGGTTATGGTGCACCCACCCCAGGAAAACGGAAAGACCAAAAGCAGGGCAGGTGATAAAGGTTCTTCAGCTCGAAGCGCCGCTGCCAGAACTTCCACCAGACATGCATGACCATTATCCACTGCCTCAACCTCAACAAGAAGCTGATTCAGCCTCTCACATATCTTTAACTTCTAGCTTGGATGGTCGTTGAAGTAGTACTGCCTTACTCATGCTACAAGATTGTATGATTTCAGATATAAAATCTGATTTAGTATCTTTATTTCTTGTTGCTAGTTAATCCTTCTTGTTAGTTCGACATGCTTTCACATAAGGGGACCATGTAATCTGTTAGCGAAATAACAAACTGCATCAGCAATTTAAGGACAATACTTACGTCCATCTCAGATATCGAAATTCAATCTGCAAGCTGAATGTGTTTCTGAAAACAAAACAAAAAATGATTTGGAGATGAAATGTTTTTTTCATTTTTGTTGAGCTATCTACCATCAACTCTCTTTACAAGGGAGACCAATTCAATGTTCTCTGTTTCTGTAGTTTCAATATCCCCTTTCGTGTTCAAAATTTCTGTTGGAAGAATGGCGGATCTCGCATCAGATTTGGGTACCAAAAACAGCAGAAAGAGAGGAGTTAACCTCAACAAGTTCCTAATCAGAATGGCAAGCCAGAGATTATCAAATTTTGTCCTTGTAACCTTCAATGCATGCAGTAAGACGCCTCCTCCCCACGATGCTGACATAACTCCAACATTTTCGATTGACATTAGCAGAGCGAAAAAAGTTCCTTCAATTCCCGAGGGACAAAGCCTTGAGCTAAGCACAAGGAGAGGCATCCATTTGAGCCTTCCTATCATCTGAGATACACTTTCATCAATCACAACGAAGAAATAATCAGGTATGCCAAACTTCAAATTCAATCGCAAAACGAGCATCAAATCTAATGTTCCTGACAACCCGTATATCAACTGAGTCCAGAAGAGCAAGTCCCGGAAAGGATGATCCTTCAGAACATTTTGATAGAGTACTGCCCCCAATAGTGAACCAACTGAACCTATCGAGAATATATATCCGACATTCTCCTGCATAAAGATGTGAATGATTAACTTTAAAAATATATTCATCTTAGTTTCTAAAACTCAGTCTCGTAAATGATAATCGAATACCTCAGAGAGAGATGGGCCATCCTTCGCGTCTGTATACCAGTAGAACATTCCGTCGAGGATGGTCAAGCTCAATGCAATGGATAAGTACATGTACAAGCAAGGTCTCCATACCTCAGGGCATTTCAATGTTGTCCACATGGCTTTTCCAGCATCAATAAACTTCTGACCGACCTGCGCCAGCATGGAATATTAGGCAATTAGCTTGAAAAGAAGCAAGAATCAGCAGGAGTATAAAACTACCGATGTGAAGGAAAATTTGGGTGAGCGAGGTTCATCAAGCAGAGTTCCAACTACAACTACAAGTCCTGATGGGATTGCCAACAGGCCGAAAACTCCCTGCCACAGAAGAGGAGATAGAATCATGATATTTTCAATTGAAATAGGAGAGCAGAAGTTTTAAAGAAGCTGACCTTAGGGCCTATAAGATGAACAAAGATACCACTAATGGAGAATCCGACAAGTGCCCCAATGGACTCAGTTAAGGCACACAGACTTTGGATATCTGATGCAAGTGAAGGGTGAAGGATACTGTTCTTTGCCGCACAGGCATCTATGGTGACATCTGCTATAGCAACTCCAGCACTTCCACCTGTTAATACCAAGATGGCAAGTGCGAGATGCAGCTTTTCGTGGAACGATATTAGGAGCATCGAGATCACACCAATAGAACCTAACATCAAATAAAACATGAACCAGCTAATAATGAGACCCTTCATCCCATGAACAATCAGTCCTTCTTGCTCGTGGTTCGTACAGGGAATGGTTTGTTGATCTAAAACATGTAGATTTCGAACAACGAAGGGAAAGCAACACGTCTAAAATCAACAACATTTGAAATTAAATGCCTACTCATTCCCTATACAAACCCCGAACATAATGCCCAAACTGCATTTTAAAACATGAAATCTATCCTCGAGTTTATATTTAACCTTGGACATAAAAACCAACTAGAACTATTGATTTTTTTGGTTAACAAGAAACTAAAACTGCATCACTTACCAGCAAAAATGAAATAAGGCCGTCTTCGATACCCGAAAATGGGGAGAACATCAGTGAGGAGACCCCAGATAGGCTTGACAATCCAAGGAATATAGATAATTCCTTGGTAAAATTGGGCTTCAGAAGGCTGCACCTTCTGCACATCCTTCATGTAGTACTCCGTACCGATGCGAGAAAGAGCGTCTCCCAGTCCCTGACGTATTCCATAAACAACAACTACCCCCCATACAAAACTCCAATGCAATTCCACACACAGCATTTTGAACCATTGTATTGGAGTACAGAGAGCATCACAGCACCCTTTTTTCGGTTCACTTTCGTATGTAGTATCGCCCGAGGGATCGAGAACCTCCTCCTCCTCCTTCACCATCACTCACTCCCCTATACAGATTTGCAGGAAACAACAACAACTCAGCAAACAGATCGGAGTTTCCTGAACTCTGGGAATCTGTGTTTCCTGAACAATGCTTGAAATTGAAAACCCTTCAAAACCCAGTTCGAGTTTTCCGTTTTTTCGATCTGGGTTTCTTCGAAACTATTGGAAACTCCTGAAGGAAGCTTGAACTGAGTTTCTTCGAGACAAAACGAAAAACACAGAGACAGCAGCTTTCTTGAATAATTTTGCAATGATGGCGTACTTCATTCTTTTCTGATTAGTTATGGATCTCAGAAAATGAAAAACCAGCTAACTTCAAGATCGAGATGGATTAAAAAAAACCTCATAGCTAGCTGCAAGCCTCCAAGTTAGCAGAGCTGAGAAGGGCGCCAAGTTGACTTTCCCCAACGAAATCTTCCTTTTTTTTTTTTTTTGAACATACGACGATGTAATTAACTGTGGAGTGCCGGATTTGGGCTGGGTCGCACTCGCACAATGTGTTTAAATTGATATCAAATTTGACACTCTCGAGATTCGCACGTCAAAATTTTGATTTATAAGTTTAGAGATATTACTAGACTGTAATAGTAATAAGTGGCTTAATCAACCCAATCTATGTACACTCCAATCTTATTTACTAGATATTGGGTTTTAGTTTGGACTGTGATTTTCACTCTCCTAATTGTTTTTTTTTTCCTTCACTCTTCGCCCTATTTTTGTCTCTATATTCTCTAGGCTCGAAAAAACGAAGGAGCAGAGAAATGAAAAGTGAGTGTGGAACTCACTTCCCTTGGTTGTTACTATCGTTATTTCGGGTACTCTCTCTCCCCTCAAGTCACAAACTCTCTTCTTCACCCTTCAACGACCCAAAAATTTTGTCTTCAAATTCAACTAAGTAAACAAATGTAAGTTAGAACAGTTGGTATAGATCAGTATTATATCTGAACGTGCGATACAAGAAAAACGGATATAATTTTAATTCATCCAAACAATTTTCTTAATGCATCTCACCATATATAGTTGGACTACCTTGAAATATATTTCTCAATATTAAACAAAATGCGGGAAATAATAAAAAAAAAATGTGTGTGATAGTAGCACATTTCCAACTTTAGCTTGGTCTTCAAGTAGGCTTTTGAAACCAAAAACGATTTTGGTGTAAATTTTTCGTAGTCCGGCTATCGATCGTCTGCTCTGTTTACAAGGGAGACTAACTCAACGTTCTTTGTTTCCAGAGTTTCGATATCCTCTTTCGTGTTTGCGATTTCGGTCGGAAGAATCGAAGAGTTCGGATCAGCTCTAGGCACCAAAAACAGCAGACAAAGAGGAGCTAATCTCAAAAGGTTCCTAATCAGAATGGCTAGCCAGAGATTATCAAACTGCGTCCGTGTAACCTTCAATACGTGCAGTAAAATGCCTCCTCCCCATGTTGCCGAGACAAGTCCAACGTTATCAATCGACATGAGCAGAGCGAAGAAAGTTCCTTCGATTCCAGGGGGACAAAGCTTTGAGCTGAGTACAAGAAGAGGCATCCACTTGAGCCTTCCGGTCATTTGAGATACACTTTCATCAATCACAACGAAGAAATAATCGGGTATGCCAAACTTCAGATTCAATCGCAAAACGAGCATCAAGTCTAATGTTCCTGACACCCCGTAAATCAACTGAGTCCAGAAGAGCAAGTCCCGGAAAGGATGATCCTTTAGAACACTTTGATAGAGTACTGCCCCCAAAAGGGAACCAACTGAACCTATTGAGAATATGTATCCAACATTCTCCTGCATAAAGATGTGACTGATTAAATTCATATAGCGATTACTGAGGTCATAAAATCCACTCTAATTAGTAATTGTCGAATACCTGAGAGAAATGTGGACCATCTTTCGAGTCTGTATACCAGAAGAACAGTCCGTCGAGGATATTCAAGCTCAATGCAAGGGAAAAGTACATGTATACGCATGGTCTCCATACATCAGGGCATTTCAATGTTGTCCACATGGATTTGCCAGCATCGACAAGCTTCTGATTCACCTGTGCCCAACATGCAACATTAGATCGTGATCATGAAAGAGAGAAAACCCAAGAATCGAGCAAAGGACTACCTGCGTGTAAGCGAAGTTTGGTGAATGAGGTTCCTTGATTAAAGTTCCGATTAAGAACACAAGTCCAAATGGGATTGCCAACAAGCCGTACACCCCCTACCAAGGAAGAGGAGAAAGAAACTCTAATGTTAAAAATGCCATTTTTTCTAATAAGTTTTAAAAACTTGAACATATACAAGTGAAAATAACTGACCTTAGGGCCTAGAAGATGAACGAAGATACCGCTAACAGAGAACCCCAGTAGTGCTCCTATGGAGGAACTCAGGGCACACAGGCTCTGGATATCGGCTGCGAGACTAGGATGGTTAATACTGTTCTGTGCCACACACGCATCGATGGTCACATCTGCGACAGCCACTCCACCACTTCCGGTTGTTAATGCCAAGAGGGCAAGTGCAATGTGCAACTTTGCATGGAACGATAAAACGAGCATTGCCATCACACCAACAGAACCTAATAAAAACATGGAATTGTTGAGCTAATCAGGACACCATGTCAGCTAGAAACTCCTACACAAGTCACCTCATAAATCCATGCGGAATGTTCGAATTTTCTTTTTTTCGTAAAAAAAAAGCAAAAGTTCAACTGATATTCTCATCTATTACAATAGTCCGGCTATGGAATGGACATCCGTTCCTTAATAAAGACAGACTGCCAATATGTCCGAGAAAACGTACCAACATAGTATCGATGCATAGTTTGTGGAATTTAAGGCCAAATGTGAGCACATCGATTGAAAAACCACACAAATAAAGTTTTTAAATTTGAATTAACATGAAACTAAAGCTGCATCATTTACCTGCTATAATGAAATAAGGCCGTCTTCGATACCCAAAAATGGGAAGAACATCAGTGAGGAGGCCCCAGAGAGGCTTGACAAGCCAAGGAATATTGGTGACTCCCTGATAAAATTGAGCTTCAGAAGGCTGCACCTTCTGCACATCCTTCATGTAATACTCCGTGCCGACGCGATAAAGAGCTCCGCCGAGTCCTTGACTTACTCCATAAACAACCACCACCCCAATACAAAACTCCAATGCAGTTCCACGCATAGCATTCTGAACCATTGGATTGGAGTGCAGAGAGCACCACAACACCCTTTTTCCGGCTCTTTTTCCTCTGCAATACCGCCGGAGGGATTCAGAACCTCCTCCTCTTCCTCCACCATTACTCACTTCCCGATACAAATTTGCAGAAAATGACAACAACCCAGAAAGCAGATCGGTGTTGTTTCCTGAAAAATTGGAATCTGATTCCAGAACTTTCTGCGTCAAATTGAAAAACCCAGTTCAAGATTCAGCTTTTCTCGAACTGGGTTTCTTCCAAATGATGGATTCTTCTCAGAGAAGCTTCAAATTTCTGATCTTGATTTTGGCTTCTGCTTAATCAAAAAGCTCCAACAACCACAACAGAAAAACAGAAAACGAAAAAGCAAGCACAGAAGCAGCAGCTTTCTGAAATTAATTCACAGTGATGGATCTGAGTAAGGTGGACCGTGGATCAAAGGGCTCCTGGTAGATATAGCTTCAAGGTAGCAGAAGAACGGAGAAGAAGGGTATCTCTTACCCTCCCCGACGTTGACTTTAACCAAAGTAAAAGGTTCACAGTTTTACTCCATTTCGTTTATCAAAATCCGATCTTGGTTTTCAGTTTTTACAGTGTTACTATCGGGTACTGTATAATGTGTGGAATTTTCTGGCAGCAAAATCATTTGGACTCGGTGAGAAGAAAACAAGAGAAAGAAGTCACCTGCTCGCCATGATGAGAAATTTTCACAGCGGCTGCCCACTAATACGACATATGTTATTATTATATTATTGAACAGAATAAAAATAAATAAATAAAATGTTATTAACATTACAAAAATTTCATTCTACATTTTGTATCTGTAATTTTTTTTTAATTGTAGAAAGTTTGGAGTTAAAAATGAGATTTTTGGAATGCCAATAACAATTCTCTAAAAAAAATCCTCTCTAATTATAAAATGATATGTGATGTGTCATCCTTTGCTTCAAGCACACTGAAAATTTTCTTGTCACATTTATACTGAGCTAATGAAAAAAGAACTTTTATATTTTTTTTACTTAAATAGAATTTTTTTTTAGATTTTAACCTGAATAGTTTTCAAACTCTAATTCAAATTTCTATATCCAAACCTTACCATATTTAAGTATTGGATTAAGTCCCAAAAACCTCCCAACATTTTAAAATCCTACTCCCTTTTTAGCTTACTTGACCGCAAATAATAATAATAATAATAATAAATTCAAAAAAGACATGAATATGAAAATGAAATAAATAGAAAATTTCACAAATAAAATAAAAAACAAAAATGAAGCTTGGGAAATATCAAATCCCCCCCCCCCCGGCTATAGTATATTTGTTTTGCTCGTGTGTTGGAGTGGCCTTGTGTTGTAGGGTGAAGTTGGTGGTTGTGTGTCGGGTTTGGAGGTGATAGCCTCATGGGGGTGGTGACGATCATTAGTCGGTGGAGGTCATGCTTTTATGACATTCTATTAATTTTGGAAACAAAGTAAACCCTAGCTAATTTAACAGAAATTTAACTGAGGCTTAACGAATGTGACATTTTGATAAATTTGGTACTTTTTTGAAATGTTTTAAAAAATTGAGATCAATTTAAAATGATAATAAAAGATCAGAGAATTTTAAGTACTTAATCCTTAAGTATCTATAGTACATTTATTATTTATATACTTATCATATGAATAGATTTTCAACTGAAATTGTGATCATCTTCACTATTACCATGAGAACTTGATTGGAAAGTGATTCCTTGAAAGCATTTCTCTGCTGACTCTCATTGCTTGGACATGTGGACTAGATCCTTCCTGGCCCTCTTTCAACTTGTCAAATGTGAACATGGAACCTAACATCATATGTACTTTCCTTTTCTTTCAATAAATTTACCTCCTCGTCTTTTTCCATGATAGTAATGCTGGAGTGAGATTTAATCATCGTCTCTTCTCATAATAGCAAGGTTGGAGTGAGATTGACTTTGTGATTATGAACACGTGAGGAATGAAAAGATTTGAACTTCATTGTCTTCGTCTTGCTTATTATTACTTAAATGTTTAATCTTATCCCATTTTATCCCATTTCGTCTATCCATTATTTTATTCATGAGTAATTTTCTACGTACTTGAAACATCTTATTACTTGGTGTTTAATCTTATCCCATTTCGTCTATCCATTATTTTATGTATGAGTAATTTTCGGCATACTTGAAACATCATAACCTAATATTGCTATTCATTCAAATTATAATATGTATATTCTTTTATTTTTACTTATATACCAGTGGGACCTATCAGCTCTCTAGTCGCTCATATTACAACTGCGAATGATAAAACCATGTGACCGTGTTCGAAATACATAAAAAGGTTTATCCACCCCTTCTGCACATAAAACAAAATGTGGTTTAATGAAGACTGCTTATATCCTAACAAATCATATTAACATTTAGAAAGTGGAAGAGCAATAATTAGTGGAACCCCAAAAGATAATATTAGTTCCAAATATCAGTTTAGTTATGTACATGACTGACCTTGCAGTCAAAAGAATGCTGAGCAAGAAATCTTGCAAAATAAACCCCAACATGAACAAGTTTTTTCAAATTAGTCCCATCAGTTTTCCCAAAATCCCCTCATAAAATACCCAGTAACATATCACCAGCAGTAGATATGGAGTTTGCATACATTTATGTATCTCTGCTTCAAATCATGATCATCTTCAGAGATCTGCAATTTGATGATGCCTTTCCGATGTGATCTCCTTGGGCCAAAGGGATCTGATTCTTGAAGAGGTTGCTTCGGCAGAGGCAGTCTCCGTCTCAATCGGTTCATACCCTGCCTCGAACGCATATCGAAAGCCCATTTCTTGTTCGGAGAACTGTAGACACCATAGTCATTCGAAACATTTCCTCTAGCAGCAACCAGCCATCCTCTGAAATGCCTCCTTCTGTGTGGAAACCGGCAAGTGACGCAAATCTACGTTTGCTTTATGGTACAGCGTCTTGTGCATGTAGAACATCATATAACACTGTGAAGCTCTTACAATCCCCTCGTCGACCTCATTAATCCAAGCATTGTCACATTTGTACCACTGGTCTTGTATGCGTAAATACGTCACATAATGGCCGGAATCTAGTGTCCCGGAATGAGTAACTACTGCAAAAATCTCAAACTCGGTAGACATCTCAGATTCATCCCCCTCGAAAGCAAAGATTCTATTTCCAAATCTGTTTCTGACGATCGAAGAAGACAGATAGGGAGTCATGTCTAGCGAGAAGGGAAAATGCAAATAGCTATCGATTTTCCTCATCATCTTTCTGACCAGGGAATGCTCAAACCGTTTTATATGCAAACACAACACCATTGGAAGCTTTCTGATGGACATTTGCTTTGAAGAGTCTCGGAGTTCTTGACAGTTCTGACAGTACAGTTTCTGGTCTGACCCCAACTTTTCTGGTTTTGTAAACAAGTCTAAACAACCCAAAAGAGTGGATGAACAGCTGCTGCCATTCGCTTTGGCAGGCTTGTTAGATGCATCTGACCAAGAACAGCGGCTTGTGTCTAAGTTGAGTGATATGTCCAAACACGGGTCATAAGTTGTCGAGGTGAATCCACAAGTCATACAAGTGACATCCGACCTCAACAGTCCTGAGAATACCCTATGCGCAATACACTGGCAGTCTCCACTATCTGTTAAACAAAGGATAACTTCATAAGTAAAAGAGAACTATTGACCACCGCAAAAACAAACAATTCCACATACATCCATTACTTCTAAAATGTACAATCTAAAACTCATCTGACAACCTATGATTACCTTTAGTATGGTTCCTTGCTTTGGTTTCTTTCTCATGGATCCCATCCAACACTGAAATGAAGAACTCATGAGCGTCCTGCTGCTCGTAGCTTGCCAGATTCTCCGAATGCTGCCACCAACTTGAAGTAGAGAAAATTTAAATCAGTCCAAAAGCAAGCTCCAGCATAGAAGAACTAACAACGAATCTAGTGACAAATCACAGATAAGGAATTTGATCCCGCATTGCAAAAATGGTGCCGTCATTTCCAGCAAATCCATGCGAATTCTAATTAGACATAAACATTATGCTTTTGCAGGAAAGTCACTTAACGACTTATGGGTTATTAAACTTCATCTACACTGGCTAACATAGCACTATGATACTTGTTGAACTTATCAAAGGATCTTTAGAAGCAACAGATTACAGACACAAAGACAAAAAGCGACTATCCCGAAACAGTGTTTATCAAATATAAATCAATCCACAAACCAAAAGCTTAAGCATTATAAACTCGGCAAGATATGCTGTAACCAAAGATCACACACACAGAGCAATGCAGACCTGTAAAGCAATTGAGCCGGGCTATAAGGAGTCCAATCGCCGGAATACACAGCCGAATAAACACCGTGAAGCTCACAAGGCAAACACAGCCGGTTTGCCGTCCTTTTCCGGCATGTTCTGCGGCTATGCCGATCACTCAAGAAGTAATTCCTCAATGGAGGCGCATGTAGCAGCGCTTGCAACACAGAGTTCATAAAACAAGTACTCCCCAAATTATTCAACCCCCTCAAACCCAACGGATAACACGATTTCGCCCTGTGATCCCTCACCAAACCCGATAATTCGGGCTTTTTAAACTCCGATAATTCGACACCCGAACCCCCCAGCCTCTTCCTCTCACACAGTCTCTCCCCAATACTATCCGCACTATTTGTGCTGCACTGCAAGTCCAGCATGTGCTTAGCCATCACGCACTTATCGAAATCAGGATCGTAGACCTGATCGGAGCACGCACAGCAAAAAAGCTCGGCCCTTTGGACATCGACGGCCAAATCGTGGCCGATTTCCAACTGGGTATGCAGAACTGCGTGATTCGAACACGAAACCGAAGAGCAAATCAAGCAAATATAGAGTCTACCTTCGAACCCATTACAGACACTGCATCTGGGTACCTTAGTTTCCTGAATCCGAACGCTTGTTCTTCCGTTGGGGGCAGATTTGAGGGATTTTTGGAGGGATTTGTAGCCGCTGGAGCCATGTTTGAGCTTGTAAGCTGAGAGGTGGTTGCAGGGTTTTGGGTTTGCGTATGATGGCTTCCTTGTCGACATGTTTTGATGGAGACTTTGGGAAAGGGAAGGTCGAATTGGTTAGAAATCGCAGAAAGATTAAAACTTTATTAAGAAAAAAATGGTAAAATTAATAGATTAATAAACCCAATAGTAAATTAAACTTGGAAAGCAGATCCAATACTGCAGTGAAGAGATGGAGAAGGAATTTGGATTAGATGAGAGAGAGAGAGAGAGAGGGGCAAGGACTTCTCTGCGCTCCGTTTGGGGGATGACTTGAAGGCAGACGAAGGATGAAGAAGATGCTTTTTGGTTATATATGACTTTGTAGACCGACTCATGGAGTCTATTACTGTATACTGTATAGTATGAACTTAATTTAGAATGTAGTCGCTCAGTATTACGATTCAAATCCTGTGGATAGCGATTTTAATATCAATTTAGATTGCTCATTATATGACTTAATTAAAATTAAAATATAAAAAAGATAAGAATTAAAAAAAATGGGAAAATGATATAGGAAGGACTTTAGGAATGCTCCTTATATTTTCGACTAAGTTTCACTTTGTCCTCTTAATTTTCAATTTGATTTTGAGCTCTTGAAGTTATGAATTCGTGCAAACATCACACGGAAAAAAAGTACATGTTCACAAGAAAATACTTGGAAACCTCGAAAATACTAGACACTTACACATCTAAAGTTAATATTGTACAAAACAGACAGACGAAAATAATTTTAATTTAATAGAATAATTGACAAATTTAACTAAAAGGCTAAAAGCTTATGGGGGCACGGCAAAAAATTTTAACACCAAAAATAATGAAGAGAGATCAAAACCGTTAAAACTTGATCAGAAAGTGATCGGGTCCCGTTACCATTTAAGTACGGTTTTTGGCCTAATCTAGGTCTTACTAGAATGGGAATTTCGTATTGGCCAAAAACAATAATGAATGAGAATATCATAATAATTTTGCATATGACGCTTTATCACAGTAGGAGCAAGCAATGCTTATGTAATATAGTGCGAGTTCGAACTTATAACAACTAACAATTTAACCTACTAACGTTATCGTTTGTCAAACAAATGTTTTCTTAAGTTTCTAAACTTTAATATTTTTGGAATAAGAAATCAAAATTAAGTATCAACAACTTATTAATCACATATCAACGACATAATAATCATATATTTACGATATACCGAAATCTTATCATTTCAGCAACTAAGATTGGAAAATTATTATTTTAGTCAATTTCTCGTGCTTTTTAACGCTCAACACATTTTATCATTTTCGTCAATGATTTTTAACATATGTTTTATCATTTTCATAAGTGGTCATCGATATTGAAATATCAATCGATTCCAATATGTTTCATGCTTGAATGGAAGTGGATGTTATGATGGCCCATTCTATGGAAGGGAGCAGTAGAATTCATTGAACTTGAGCTTTACTTAAAGAAAAACTCTCTGTCGGAGCTTTACAAAAGAAAGGTTATAACTTATAGTCAGTTGTGTGCCAAAGTACAATGAATGATGACTATTGACTTGTTTCAGACAAAGCTAAAGAAACACGCGTTTGCACATCAAACTTTCGGTGCATCAAGAGCGAAGGAGAACCCAGATTATCTGTTAAGCTTATTTCTTGTAGGAGGAAGAGCGATAGAGAAACGTAGAAGAGGGGAAACATTTTTTAAAAGGAAAACTAATGAAAATGGTTTGAAAACGTTGAATTTTAATTATAAAGACAAAATAAAGAGTAAAATAAATAGTACTAGATTTGACTTTTTGGTATAAAAATGTGGTTTTTCGTTAATGTAAACAGTACCGTAGGTTTTTTTTTTTGTTAAAACTCATTTTTTTTTAAACTTGAAAAGACACTTCTGATTTCTGATATCTTTTCACACCTCAAACTCATAACACTACATGGCTTTTATAGACATCATCATTTATTTACAATACATCATCATTTATTTAGCTAATTATAAGCTTCTTAATAATTGAACATCTAGAGAAATCATGATTAACTCTAGAAATTCCAAACATCACAACTCTAGAACTTCGATCTTCCTGATTTATTACTCTTTCTTTGTAACTTAAATTTGGTTTAATCTTCAAACATTGCCTCCCTTAAACCAAATTTGCTTTTGATTCCTAGTCTTGCAACATCTCGCTTGAACACTTGTCCACCAAGTGGTTTTGTGAACACGCCTGCCATCTGTTCATCTGTTTTGCAATACTTTAACTGTATAACTCCCTCACTAACAAGCTCCCTAAGTATATGAAAGCGGATGCGGATGTGCTTTGTTCTCTAATGTAGAACACGATCTTTTGAGACTGAAACTGTTGAGCTATTGTCACAAAACAAAGTGGTTGGACCCTTTTGTTTATGCATCAGACTCTCCAAAATGCCAAGTAGCCAAACTGTGTGACATCCTGCAAGATAGGCAGCTATGTACTCCGTTTCCGTTGTAGAGAGAGCAACAATCGGTTGCTTCCTCGAACTCCATGAAATCACGCCACTTCCCAGACTAAAGACATAACCTGAAGTGCTTTTGCAATCATCAATACTTCCAGCTAAATCATTGTCAGTATAGCCAATAAGTTTCACTGGAACATTTGCTTCATAAAAAATGCCATAATTGATAGTTCCTTTGATGTATCGTAGAATTCTTATTGCAGCTTCCCAATAATTTGAATGTGGCTTTTCCATGAACCTCCTCACCAGACTTACTGCATACATGATGTCTGGTCTTGTGGCTGTTAAGTGCATCAAATTAACCACTAAACTACGAAACTTGGTGGAATTGATAAGTCTCCCTTCACCATATTTGCTTATCTTTAGGCCTGTAATGCATGGTGTCACTACTGGGTTTGCATTCTTCATCTTAAATTTCTTCAAAACTTCTTTTGCATAACTCTCTTGAGAAATGAAAATGCCTTTCTTAGATTGAGAAACTTCAATACCAAGAAAGTGATGCAGCTTGCCCAAATTTGTCATCTCAAATTCTTTCATCATAAAGAGCTTAAAACCATTTAATAACTCCAAATCATTTCCAGTAAAGATAAGATCATCCACATAAAGACTTACAACCATGAAACTTCCTTGTGAGGTGCTTTTGACATAGAGAGTATGTTCATACAGGCATTTCTGAAAACCATGCTTCTCAAAGTATGAATTAATACGGTTGTACCTTGCACGTGGTGATTGCTTGAGCCCATATAATGCCTTCTTAAGCTTGTAAACTTTATTTTCCTCTCATTTATTCCCATATCCATGTGGCTACTCCAAATAAACTTCTTCTTGAAGGACACCATTCAAGAACGCTGACTTTACATCCATTTGAAAATTTTCCCAATTGTTTTGTGCAACAAGAAAGATGATCAGTCAAATAGTGTCAAGTCTGGAAACAGGAGCAAAAACTTCAGTATAGTCTTCACCTTCCTTTTGCTTATAACCCTTTGCAACGAGTCTCGCCTTGTACATGTTAATAGACCCATATGCATTTTTCTTTGTCTTATATACCCATTTAACACCAATAAGATTCTTGTGTGCTAGCAGATTTGTGAGCTCCCAAGTCATATTCTTCTCAATAGCCTTTATTTCTTCATCCATGGCTTGCTTCCATTTTTTTCCTCTTCACATGCTTCATTAAATGAAATTGGATCCTCTCCAGCAGAGAAAGCAAAGAATATAGTAGTATCCTCCCAATCTACTTGCGCTGATGAGTCATAAAGATCTTGTATACTTCTTAACTTTCTTGGAAGCGAGTCGTCATCACTTGATGTAGCTCTTGGAGATTAAGTAGCAATTTCTGATTGATAAATATCATATTGTTCTTGCATAATAGGCAATTTTGATGTACTATTTTCTTCTTCAAAGAAAGCATTTTCATTAAAGTGGACATCACGGCTGATCAAGAACTTTTTAGTCTTCGAATTGTACAGATTGTAGGCCTTACTCCTTTCACTATATCCAATGAAAATGCACTTTTTGGCCTTATGGTCGAGCTTGTTTCTCAACTCCTTTGGAACATGGGAATAGGCAACACAGCCGAAAATCTTCAAATGATACACTCTCAGCTTCACTCTATACCGAGCTTCATGAGGTGTGCAATCCTTCAAACTCTTTGTTGGTGATCTATTGATTAAATATGCATCACAAGAAACAGCTTCTGTCCAAAATTCTTATTGCAATCTTTTCTTCTTGAGCATGCATCTCACCATCTCCATGATTGTCCCGTTCTTTCTTTCGCTCACATCATTTTGTTGCGGTGTATATCGGGCAGTCAACTGGTGTTTTATTCCATGATCTTTGCAATATTTTTGAAATTCATTGGAGATATACTCTCCACCATGATCTGTCCTTAAACTTTTGATTGGAAGGCTAACAAACTTTTCAACTTCGGCCTTGAAATCTTTAAAAGCTTGAAATGCTTCATATTTTTCTTTGAGGAAGTAGACCCAAACTTTTCTTGAGAAATCATCAATAAATGTAATGAAATATAGATTACCTCCAAAAGATGCTACTGGCATTGGACCACACAAGTCAGAATGAATAAGCTCCAACGGCTTCTTTGCTCGCCAGGAGGACTCTAAAGGAAATGAACTTCTATGTTGCTTACCAAATTGACAATCTTCACAAACGTCATCTACCAGATCAATTTGAGGCAGCCCATGTACCATTTTTTTGTTTGACGGCAACTTCAAACTTCCATAATTTAAATGGCAATGTTTGTCATGCCATAACTTAGATACTTCTTTTTCAGCACTCACAAAACAAGATAGTTTTGTTGTCTAAAGCTTCAAAGGAAACAAGTTATTTGCAGCAAGTCCAACCTTGGCAACAAATTTATCCTTCATTTTGAGAACACAAAAATCACCACGAAGGCAAATATCATAACCATTCCTCAACAGATGACCAATACTCAATAAATTACTCTTCAAACTAGGAACATAATACACTTTAGAAACCTTCTCAATTGTTCCAGATTTTGATTTGAAAGACACATCACCAATTCCCTCAATTTTATAGGCTCTATCATCACCGATTCTTACTTGATCACGATCGAACTTATAGAGGGTAGAAAAAAGGTTTTTGTTACTTGTTATATGTTTGCTAGCTCCGTTATCCAAATACCACACATCATTCATTTGATCTCCATGACATGTGAGCAATAAAGTTTCTTTATAATCACCATCTCCATAATTGGTTTGATGCATATAACCTTCTCTATATTGTTTTTCATCATCAGCCTTTTTGAAACGACATTCTCTGATCTTATGCCCAGATTTGTTGCAATAGTAGCATTCCGGAGTGCCACATCCTCTTCCTCGGTACGAATTGAAATTTCTTTCACCTTCATTATTAGAATTGTTTGATGAGCCTCGTTCATTGCCATAAGAATTAGTGCCTATGACATTCAAATTTCTTCCTTTACCTCATCCGCCTCTTTCACCTCTTCCACATCTGAAGCTTTGATTAAGGCTTTGAAGCTTGATTGCCATTGCCTCCCGTAGTTGTAACTTGAGGCTTGAGTGCTTGATCAGGTTGAGTAGCGGGAAGATTCCTCAAATTAATTTTGATCTCATATGCCTCCAATTTTCCTTGTACATCTTCCATAGAAAAAGTTGAAATATCATTTGACTCTTCGATGGCAGCCACAACATAAACAAATTTCGCCGATAAGCTACAGAGAATTTTCTCAACAATTCTTGCATCTTCGAGAATCTCCCCATTTGAAGCCATTTGATTAACAACAGAGGTAACTATAATAAAGTAGTCTTTGATTGTCTCATTTTCTTTCATCTCCAACTTTTCAAATTCTTTCCTTAAAGATTGCAGAAGGTTCGTCTGCATTGCATTTTGTAGGCATTATCGATTATATCTCATGCTTGCTTTGCATTTTCAGCTTTCGCAACTCTTTCATATACTTGTATCGCAATGGTTTGATATACGTGGGAAAATGTCTTGTTGTTCTTCTTTCGATTCTCCTTCAAAGTATTCATTTGTGCTTGAGTTAGCGCAGCTTCGTTATCCGTCTCTTCATAGTCTGCTTCAACAATATTCCATAGCTCCAAAGCATTCAACAACACCTTCATATTATTGCTCCAGTGGTCGTAATTATCTCCACCAAACCGAGGAATTAGTGAAGCCAAGTTGTGACCATTTGCATTTGCATTCGCCATATTGACAAAACTTCAACAAGGCTCTGGTACCAATTTGTAGGAGAAAGAGCGATAGAGAAACGTAGGAGAGGGGAAAGGTTTGAAAAGACTCTTCTGATTTTTGCTATCTTTTCACACCTCAAACTCACAACACTACATGGCTTTTAAAGCCATTACAATACATCATCATTTATTTAGCTAATTATAAGCTTCTTAATAATTGAAACATCTAGAGAAATCACGATTAACTCTAGAAATTCCAAACATCACAACTCTAGAACTTCTATCTTCCTGATTTATGACTCTTTCTTTGTAACTTAAATTTGGTTTAATCTTCCAACATTTCTCTCCTCAAGTGACGTGTCACATGCCGACAGATAGGCACAAGGAAATATACACCCGGTTGCCCAAGATTTTGCCACGATCTGGGCATTTTGAGCACATTCCTCGCAACACATGTAGAGTGACTGCAATCATAAACATAAACTCTGTAAAATTACCCTTGAATGCACTAAGCACTGCATTCTGCATAGATGATCCAATTCCACCCTAAGAACTTGTGTGTTGCCAGATGTTGCGTAAGATTTTCATTCCATCTAAAATCTATGAACATAATACTTTTCAACTGATGTTGGTGAGGAAGGCCGAAAGAAAATGACCTAGAAAGATAGACTGATATGGCAAGTTGAATGGCCAAAACCAGTAGTTGCCAACATGTTGAAGCTCTAATCGTGCACATTTTCAATGAGTTAGCTAAATAAGTCTTATGCTGCTGCTGAATTACGGCAACAGACTTGGTATGAATCAGAAACAAAATCGTTACCCTAGAAATCGAAACCAACATCAATTAACCTAGATCGAAACCAACACTCATCATACAAAACTTACGTACACCCGATACACCAATGTGGTGGTATCTCAAGCCAATTTGTCGTGTGTTTAACTTACTCATTGTGGATGCAAATTTCCGTATTATTCTTCTTGGACAAAATTGCACCTACGAAACAAATAACATCTTAAGTCAAGGCCAAAAGCCTCACGCGCCCATGATGAATGGAGGGGGGACTTTGGCCAAAGAATCTCCGATGCCAAAGTTAGAATTTTGAGGGAAAAATGTTTGGAGAATTTAGAGAATTTTCCAAAAGAGTTGGAATTGAGTTTGGGAGAAAATGAGGTAGTATTTATAGGGGTATAGCCGGCCCCTTTGGGAGGATGGGGACCGGTCACTTGGATGGTTTTTTTGGGTGTGATTCATAATTTGTTAGCTAATTAATAAATTAATTGAGTAATAAATCAATTAATTAACTAATTAATATAATTTGAAATGAATGATTTATGGGTTACCTTATGAAGAAGATTTGATGAGGATAGATGAAATAGGTTTTGAATAATTACCTATTTTGAGCACTTTTGACCTTGATTGAGTCATGATTGTTCACTGCTCGCGCGTAGAAGTTCTGGTATTCATCGAGTGTAATTTTGTCCTTTTCACCCTAAAATCCACGTGTCGCCTCCATATTTTTCTTGATTATTTTTTGTTCCACACTCATATGATTATGGTAGCACTTGATTAACTTGAGATATTTGATGAGTTCGTATTATGCCATATATTTAACCTTATTTTTAGTTATAGTTTATTGGTTATTTTGGTAGAATTTTGATACTTTGTTATGTATTTTTAATATAGGACATTCGACTTCCTCTGGAGAAAAAAATGACCAAACGGATGAATTTTGGAGTGATTCTAATTAGAGGATGTTCGTGAGTCTTTCAAGATGATTATATCAAAATTTTAGATTTTTCTACCAAGCCGTTTGACTGTAGCGATGAAAAGAATGCCCATCGTGCAGCTTTTCCTGGACGTTTGGGGTATTTTAAAGGTCAAGATGACATATTTTGAGGAAGATTCATTCGAAGGATTTGTTAGGGACATCTCAAGATTTAAAAAGATACATTTTGAGACCAAATCGGAGTTGATTTGATGGTTAAAAGTTTGATTTCTTGAGAAGTCCGAATTTCAGTTCAAATAGGAAACATTTTATTTCCTAGTTATCTTATTCTATTATATTTCCTAGCTTTTAGAAGACATTTTTCTAGGTAGGATTTTATTTTGTAGTAATATAAATAAGGATATTTAACCATTAGGGGAAAAACGCATCAATTTGGAGAACTCAGTTAGGCTTTGACGTTTTGTATTTCAAGGTGTTTTCTATCATTTTTTTATTTCAATAAAATTCCTTTTGTTCTATAGTTGTTCGTAACTAATTTCCGTTTGTTAGGACGATGCCTTGAGCCTTAGCATGAATATGCAGTTTTTATTTAATTGCTTATGATATTATGCATGCATATTTTAAATTATTAATTATTGTGTTTAAACTGGCTCAATATCTTAATACTTAGCTACCATTAGGATGTTTAAACAAGTAATCGGAAGCAATTCGTTCGGAATGTCATTGGACAAATGTCACGTCTTAGGGGTTGCATGGTTTTTCAAAGGGTTTTCACAAAGCGTAATGAGTCATGCATGTTTATATTTGATCTGAATGTCACAGACGTAATGAATGTTTGATATACGTTCTAACTTGAATGTCACAAGTAGAATATGCATAAGAAAGACCTAACCTTAAAAGTTGTATGTGTAATTCATAAGTAATTGGTAAAACTACATAAGATTGTTAAAGTGATGATGGAACTCTAGTGTCTTTTTATCATTATTTTCTAAGATTGTTCTCTTTTAAATTGGTTTCTTTAATTGTTTTAATTTAAAATTCGTTTTTAATATTCTAGGTCATAAAATCAATATTTTCGAAACTTTGTTTTAAATAGTTAATTAAGAATTAGTTTAAATACAAATGATTCAATCAATCCTTGTGAAAACCACCTTGCTTGAGATGCTATACTACGATAATTTGTACTTTTGTAAGTATTTTTAAGTATTTTTATCCCTATACAGCATCAATGAAATCTTAGCGGGCATAAGTCCTCCCTCACTACCAAATGCCAATATAGGAAAAACGCAGATAATCCATACAACACCCGAAATAGAGATTTCGATGAACACAATACAGTAAACTGCACAAATTTGCATATATTCGCAGCCTAAAATCCAAAAATCATTCAAGCACACAGGCTATGATTCATGAATCCAATTTCACACAACCATAATATGATTATTTATTCACATCCATGGCATCTAAACATACACAACATCCAAAAAATGAAGGGTGGATATTGAAAGTGAATTGGACGGTTATTTTTGCAAGTTCATAATTTATGGAGAATTCAATCTGGCTTGGTGGGGTCGCTGGGACCCACAAGGATTTCCGTTCTCTCTCTGTGTGCTTTTCTTCCTCTCTCCAGAAAAATCACTCTCGCTCTCTCTCCCTTGCGTTGTCGATAAACCCAGAAAAAAAAAGGAGCAAACCCTGCCGTTTCATGGCGAGTTAAGACAATCAACCGCCGCTATCACCATCTCCACCTCGCCACGAGTTCAAAGATTCCATTTTTGTTGGAAAACTCGAAGCGAAGTCCCGGACGCCTCCGACATGATCGCGATTTTCTGGCGAGTTTCTCCCCGCTTGAAGCGTCGGTAAGACCTCTAACCCTCACCAATGACTCTACCTCGTTAATCAGGACTATATTCATGTAATAATCACGTGTTTTGGTGTTGATTCAACGCAGATTCGAACAGGGGTTTTCCCCGATTTCCGCCGATATCGGAGCCGGATCCCGACTATCCAGCCGTCCATAGTAGCCCAAATATGTTGTTTGACATCTCCGGTACAAGTTTAGTGCATTGGTTGTGAGCTTTGGTTGAAATTGGAGTTAAATCGAAGCTGCAAAATTCAAAATTCCTTGAAGTTGCCGGCGTTTTTCTCCAGAAACCGGCGAGACTTTTCGGCGGCTAGGACCGGTTCACCGGAACTTAACGGCTCAGCCAGACCGGCGGTTGACGGTTCATTTCGGTCGGACCCGGTTCGTCCGGTCCGGTCCGGTTCGTCCGGTCCGATCCGGTTCGTCCGGTCCGGTTCGTCCGGTCCGATCCGGTTCGTCCGGTCCGATCCGGTTCGTCCGGTCCGACCCGGTTCGTCGGTCCGATCCGGTTCGGTCGTCAGACCTTCCGGTTCGTCCGGTTCGGCTGCTCAGAACGGTTCGTACGGTTCGAGTGATTAAAATCTTATTTCAGAAGCACAGACGAAGATAAATCAGCGCGCGCGCGCTCTCTCTCTCTCTCTCTCTCTCTCTCTCTCAAATGAAGATAAATCACTACTCCCTCTCTATTTTCTTCAACTCTGAATCTGTCTCTGTGAAACCCGTTGGAAACCCTAATCCAACTGTCGTGCTTTGTTGACAAATATGGCAGCACAGTTGTGTTTTTTACTCTGCTTCTCTGCATCTTCTTGTCTTTTGAATATTTTATATATTTGTCTCCGCTCATTCATTTGTATTTTTTTTAAAACAACATATATGATCTTGTATGCTATGTCACCGATGAAGGGAAAAATCAGTGTATATGACTAAGAAAAATATTTACTATGTGTTTTCGAAATAGGGGGTGACAGGGGGTTAATGTGAAAATGTTTTAAAAAAAAAAAAAAAATTCATTTGACTCACACTTTTTTGTTTTATGCCACCTGTCAGGACTCAGTAGCGGTAGCATTGATCATTTAGATCACCATGTAAACTGCTAGCACAATGAAAGTGTTAAAATTATAGATTGTATGGTAATTCATCGAGTCACTTAAACAGGGACTACAAACCGAGTTTCTATCGCCAACAAAACTTAGTAATATCATTCAGAAGTCGGAAAAATCACATTATCCATGCTTAAGCCATGCGCCATCGGCCAGTAAACAGCAACAAATTCTCATCCTGCTTCTGCAAGTTGCCGTTCATCCTTGTCTTGAGATTGACCGCCATTCAAACTGAACGTTGATGTCAATAACGAAGAATGCCACCACCCGAATACTCAACCTCCTGAAATTTGGAGGAAAAAAATAAGTTATAAAGAGCTTTAAGGTAGAAACCAGCTAGGAAAAGCCGCTAAGAATGATATCCATAACACTAATGACCTTACAGACAAATGAAGTGCACGAGTTAATTACCGATTGAAAAGAAAATAACAATTACCACGTCGACATGTATGTAATGTGCAATAAACAGATTTTTGCATCTAACTGTAATCTGAAGTGTACTTCATATGATATGGTTGTAAATGGGTCACGGGTTCGTGCGTACAGAGTAAGAATGGAAGAGCAATCTTCCCATTGGAAGACTGAATTTCCTTGTAAACGCCCATTTGAACTTTTCCAGTACAATTCTTTGTTAATTATACCTCATCGCCTGCTTAATAGATCCAACTACCCTCTTTAACTACCTCCACTTTGCACGAGTAAACTTCTATTCGGACTTTTCCGGTACCCTGAACCCTATCCTCTTTAACTACCTCCACCAAGGTGCTATGTTAACTAACTCAGAAGCATAGGGAGAGTTCTTCACCACAAGGAACTACTTTGTAAATCAACTCCATTATCAGAAACAAAGTTGGATGAAGCAGTGTAAGTCAACAATGGTTCCATGATACCGACTGCTAGGGGCAAAAAAGCGATTCTGACATTTCTAGAACAAATGTGATGCTTCAAAGTAATCTAAGAAAATGCCACATGCCAAATGAAATTAAATCGCCTTAGAAGGAAGATTTTCACCTGAGCAGGGGGTAAGGAAGAAACCCAATCAGATGCATGTGTAGGAAGCAACCCCAAAGTGTTAAGCTGCCAAGAACAATCAAAGTTTAATAAACTGGATTCTTTGAAGATAACTGTAAGGGATAAATCAATTAAAGGAGAACAAATATAGTTCACCTTCCAAACACCCAGTGCTAAACCCCCCAGATTAAGGGCAATGAAGAGCAACTTTGGGGCAATAAGATCTACTTTGCCGTCCTTGTAGGGCTCAAAAACTGCATACCCACATTAAAAGGAAGCATCATGCAACCGACAAGGAAATAGAGTGTAAGCATGAATTAACAGACAAACATGTAAAGTATGTCATGAAAAAAATTTGCTAGGAAATGTGAACATGGTGAGAAGAAGTCATAGGAAAAATGCGTTGGACAGCATGAATCATGCCAAACAAGACCATTTTTACAAATTGGTTTGGTAAATTTTGTGCAAGTAAATGAACACCATGTTGACCGCCCAAATGCCATGACTGATGGTTATAGGAAACCATTCATACGATTATACAGCGACATAGACAAACAGGTATAGAATATTTCAAGTTCTTTATTGCTTTCAATTGTTATTCCACACATATAGAGTTGCAGATTGGCTAACAGTATTACAGTCATCTTACCCTTCCCTACACCCTGTAAGGCGCTTATGGGCTGCCAAAGAGCGGAAAACGTAATTCCAATGCTAAACAAATGCACCGTGCTCCCAGCCATCCACATCATGAAACCCATCATCATCAAATTCTTGACTGGGGCCTGTGCAACTTCCCAAGCTTTCTGCTCAAACACAAAGACACCATGAGATCAAATAAATCCAAATAATCAAATCTCCACATTCTCATCGATATTAACACGGGTCAAGAAAATTCAGCAGAAAAACAGCTAAAATTGTAATCCATCAGCAACTTGAATCATGCCCTATTTGCGATCAAGTGATTACTATCAAGTTTATAGGTAAAGGAACAATCTTTCGCCCATCAAAATGTCTAAAATCCTAAGTCTAAAAAACCCTAAATCGAATTGCTTAAATAAATTCGAATTTAGGGAGGGGAATTAGTGCCTGAGCTTTCCAAGTAGATTCAGCATCCTTCTTCTGGCGACTCACAGTCGAATCATCCTACAGAAAAACAAAAACCCCAAACCCAATTAATTGTGAACAAACCCAACCCCAAGCTCCCAATCCAAATCGAACGAAGAAGTAAGAGAGAGAAGGGGATAAAAAAACCTGTTCGAGGGAGGCGCGAGAGAAGCCAGGAGGATCGGGGAAGTCGCGGGAAGAAGGGGACGTTGAGTTGTCAGTCAAGTCAACGGCCCATCTCCGACCTGCTCCCATCACTCCCTTTCCCTTCTCCATCGTCGCCGTCGTCGTCTTCTTCTCAGACGCAGTTGCAGCAGCAGAGTCGCAGCGCCCCTCTTCGATTTGATCCGACTAATATGTATGAGTCTGCGCTCTCAATTCTCAATGCGTCGGGTCGGCACTCTCCGCTGCTTGTTTGGTTTTTTACTCTGTTTCTTATCGACTAAAAAGGTATGGTCGGAGATGGATTCAAACTTCGATCGATGTCATGTGTCAGCTTTGTGACTCTGTAATTTCCAGGGAAAATAAAAGAAAATATCATTTCATTCCCTTTTTTACTTAATTTTATTTGCTTAAGATCTTGATTTTGATTGGATGGGGAATAAAATAAACTATTTTGTTTAATTTCAAAGTTAGGCCACCATTAAATAGGTCAAAATTTTGCTAAGTTCAAATCTCATTAATAACGTGTATTATTATAATAGGCGTAATTCATCATAAATGAGCTTAATGTTCCAAGTTTCTTTCAACAAAAATTAAATACAAATATCATCTTTATGTTAAAGCACTTATTAGTTGGAAGCGCTTTGATTTTCTATAAACAATTTGAGGTATTATAACAAAAGCACTTTTAGAATAAACGGATAGGCAAAAGAATTGTCTACAAAAACGTTCTCAAACATGTTGTCTTACAAACCCTATGAAGTGTTATGTACTAATTTAATAACTCAAGAAAAAAAAAGTCATAAGTTTTTCAGCCAACAATTATCAGAAGAATTTTTTTATTTTCTGAAAGCGCTTTTAGAAAACATGCCAAATAGGGTTTTTTCATTCCAAACTTGCAAGAAGTTAACAAAAAATGAATTACCAAACTTTGTGAAAATCTGCTGAAATTTGTTTATCAAGCTTCAGTGATGACTTCACTTCATCATTGGTGCGGATGAAACTTGATTTAGCAATTTCTTGGCTAACAGAAACAAATTAGAAATTGAAAATCCACCAAAAAATAAGAGAGAGAGAGAGAGAGAGAGAGAGATTCATACAATACAAGTTTGTTGTATACAATGTACGGGGCAGCTGATATTTCCTGCATATGTAATAGACATATTCATTCTACATACAAACTACAACTTCACTGAGATTTCTATGCATCACTATTGCAACTCTTGCTTGCTCGAGAACTTGTCCGAAAGGTTTGCCATCACGAATCCTGCAAAAACCTGAGTTCATAGAAACGCAGTTAGCGTATTACTTACTGTCGCGAAAAACTGGCTATGCAGTTAGGAGCTCCGTCACAACAGTACTTAACAGGCTTCCCCAACCGGCATGAGTTTAGATGTTAGAAGGCGGAAGTTCAAGCCTCATGTCGCAATATGAATATAACATCATGTTAAAAACTTGATTGTATGCATACAGTAGTGCGACGTACCTGAATGCAACCAAGGATGTAGACTGCAGAAAAATGGCGGCCGTGAATCACCATGTCAGCTACCATTGCGAGTGGAATTGTCAAGGACATGCCCAGCGTTGCAACTAATGGAGATGTCCAAACCACGGAAAGAGCCCTGTCAAAGTTTCATTTGGTGTTAAAAGCATTGGGCATCAGCATCTTGTTGGTAGACGAAAAACAGAAGCAGGAAGTATAGGTAAGTAGAGAGTGCATTTGGCCACCGCACAACAGACTCGAACCAACCTCTTATAAGTTTATCTATGAAAAGGCAATCGTGCACCTTTTGTAATTTTACATGAACATAATTCAGTGTGTAATCGTCACATGTCCTTGTGGTGCCCAACTGACCCCCAATGTATGTGAAAGCAGTTTTACATACCAAAAATAATCCGAAAGAACACTCCCGACAAAGCCATTTATCAGCACAGCTTCGGCAACAGATTTTGAATGTGGAAACTCAAATGAAGGTTCAATCCCGATGGCATTGAGCGGCCACACTGCATGGGTAAACATTGCTATGAGCGATGCAACTCAAAAGAAAACAAAATGATATACCCGAGGGAATGTGCTATCTTTTCATTATGAGACATATCCATTACAAACGACGAAAAGACTTTAACATGTATTTTCACTTTTCTTCCCGAGCTATCATCAAAGAGCATTGTGTGCAGTCAAGCCAATAGTATTCCAGTGCGAAAGTCATAACCAACGGTAAATGGTTTGAGGTATAGTCCAACTCATATTCTCTTTTTTGCAACCAACGTCTAGCTATCAAGTTTTGCCTAAAATCCATGACTGTATGCAAATATAATCTAATTTAACCTCAGGAATTTGGAAGATGAAGACGATAAATAGATCATGGAATAATTATTCTACTCACCGAGCCACCACAGACCAAGCAGAGCGAAGAGACCAATGTATCCGAAAAGCTTCTGCACATCAGCCTTATCTCCCTTCTTTTCTGATCCAGCAAATTTCTTGAGTAACACTGCATGAATAAGACAGTAACTTTAATAATCATAAATCCAAAATATATCAGTTGATCTTGATGACTTATTTGTAAAAGAGTTCAAGTAACACCGGATTCCTGAAACGTAATGTCACCTGTAAACAATCCATATGACGCAGCTGAGAGAAGACCAAAAATATGTCCCATTATAGCGTGCTTTCTCATCCTTTACACAACAAAGAACAAGACACAGTGAAACGATGGTAAAACGTGAATAAAAAGTAATTCCTACTGGCTGAGCCACTGAAGAAACGACTAGAAACTTACTCAGAGATGCTCCGCAGTTCATCAGGGGCCCAAGTTTTTCCAACTTCGGTCATGACAACACCAGCCATGCTCACAAAAACAGCAACCATCTTTGTAACAGTTATGGAATCCTGACGAAGAAGAGCTCCAAAGAAAAGTGTAAAGAGCCCCGACGTAGAAGTTAGGACAGTTGTACTTGCAACACTGGTATTCGCCAGTGCAGAGTTTGACAGATACTGCACTAGAACAAAGATATATCAATATGCCACTTAGAACTTTCGTTAAAGCATAAAACGAATCAATGCATATCAAAACGAACCAAGACCTCCATGCGGATTTCTGTTTTTTTTTTTTTTTTAATGCAATTACTCGCTCAATTTAGAATATGATTAGAAGTCCAAAAGATTGATATGAATAACAGGAGTGCCAAAACGACTCATGTTACCTCTGTGATAAACCACACTGGAGTAAGAATTAAGCCAAACTTTGCAACTTCCCATGGACTCAGTTGACAACTATGTTCAAGCAAGCGCGGCTCATCTTCTTCGCTCTTATCCGTTAGAGGTCGCCCTTCTTCCGTCTTACTAAGATCGTTGTCAGTAATTAGGCAGCTTCTAACATGTGTTTCTGGACTGTGGGGCATTTCATTTATTCTGAGAGGAATACCAAGCCCTCCAGAAGTTCCCGCGATAATGCCATTGTAAAAGTTCTTAACCAAATTTGGGTGCAGCAAGTTGTAGATCCAATCTTTCAAAGCCGATACGGGTAGATAGACCGCCATCAGAGACACACCGAGGTACGTGAGCGAGAACGGCTGTTTGTACTCACTGAAAATTCTCTGCATTAAAAAACAGTACAAGTTTAAATTCTCAAATAATCCCAAATCATAGCAACAGAATAACACATCCTTCAAATATCTGGTTAAATGAGAGAATACTCAGATAATGTAACTAAGTATCCATTTAAAAAAGACAAAGAACATGAAGATGTCACTGTATCAATATATCAATTCAATCAGTCAGTCACACACTGCCTCTTGGGAGAGCTATAGCGCGCATGCGTGATTGACTTGAGATATCATACCGTCACAGTGGCATCTCACGTGTCACCAAAGAAATACAGAAATGGAATAGTGAGGACTAGCAATGATGTTCAAGTACGTAAAGTTCTTTCCTTTACCTCGCAATGATGTTACAAGACGATGTTCTAAACTACTCTAACAAACGGAGAGGGGATTCATACTCAGTTGCAAGAAAAACAAACAAGGAATCAAACTTGAAAAAGAGAGGGCTTGGATGAACACAAACCTGAGTAACCTCTGCAGAAGCGACCCAGATGAACACAACTGTGCCAATCAACCCCAAACCGGCGTTGTACTTCCAACCCATGATCAAAATCACCACCAAAAACCCAAGAATTTGCAAATTCGACCCAAAATTATGAACCGGGTTTAATCTCAAATTCGGCTAAAAATCAACATCTTCTGGAAAGCTCCACAAGCAGCAGGACAATCCAATATCATGAACCCTGATCGAGGGTTCTGGGGTTTTCGTTTTGGCACCAAATATCGATTCTTTGGGTAATTACGTGACGATGAAGTTTGAAATCGTGGGAAAGGAGAAAGATTATTACTTTTTTTTTTGTGGCGGCAAAGAAAGTGGATTTTGCACTGATTGCACTGAAGTGTTCAGTTTTGTTGCTGAGCGATGGGGGTGTCAGCAATGACTCCATGAGAGTGACAGGTGGTGCCTTATCAACCAAACTTCCTTCAAGGTGGCTATCTGTACAAATGCATAGAGTGCACATATGATAGTTGTATGTGTTGAGAGTTGTCCCACATCGGTGAGGGATAACGTTTGCTATGTGCTTATATGATCTTGGACTACTCTTCATATTGCTAATAAGTTTTATGGTGGAATCTCAATTACATCATGGTATCCGAGGGAGTTGTACTCGTGTGAAGTCAAACGGCCACACGCGCTCCATTTCACCAAGTTGTTGTCCACATGTAAGCTTGAAAATCCGCCGGGGAATTCTTATTTAAAACTATTTCGGTTCTAATTAGAAATCTTTGTGCTTATAATCATAATTGTTTATATTATAAATCACTTTATAAAGATCATCTCTACAAAAAAATAAAAATAAATACTAATGTCATATAATTAATCTATTGTAGCAAATACATAGATAATTCATAATGCTTTTATTAATTTCGTTCATCTTATTTTGTATAATTCGATAACTGAACAACCTTAGTTTGAATTAATTTTTGTGAAGAAGCGCTCTTTATGGAGTGACTTATCATATGATGATCCCGATTATAAATACGAAGTTTTATGAATCGACAGCGAACAATTTTGAGTAGAAACTCCTACTCATCATTTGAGTAGTCAGCTATTGTTCTACTTTTAATGTTTTAAGTGTGCTAACTTCATAGAAAGTGTCTCTCACATTATCACATAATAAGACGAAGAGAATCATGATTTTAAAAGTGTGAAATGTTGTCTTTTTAAGATTTGTGATAGATATAAAATATCACGATTCACATAAAATGTCATGTGAGAAAGGATGTATGTATGTATAAAC